TTGTTCATGAAGGCTGGAAGTGAAAAACGCCTTATATTCAGGTGTGCATAATTATTAAGAAGGTTATCTTCTACAGATAAAATCTCGAGATGGGCTAAAAATGAACTCCCAAAACTTACTGCCAGATTCTGGAAGATAAATTCTTCAACCAATGGTACAAGAGGATGTGGTGCTGGTCCTTCAAGAATCACTCTCAACTTATCTGTCTATAAAGCCTATATATATATATGTCCAATGGTTATGCATTAACTTTGCAATTTCTAGTATTGTAGTAGTTTTGAATATTTCTCATGGGAATTTAATAATTTTTGACTTTCAGTCTGAGTTAAATCTCTTTTTTGGCTCATTTTATCTGTAAAAGAAAATCTGCTTAATAATTATGCACACCTGAATATAAGACATTTTTTCACTTCCTGCCTTCATGAATAATTATATATCAATTATAAATGATTAAATACAAGATTAATAGTAGTTATTAAGATTGATGTCGTTTGGAATTGGTCAAATGTGCTTGGAAAAAAATATATTCAGAATATCAACTTGCATAATAAATATGCATGCACTGTTTTTCCTCTTCTGCTGTCCTGGTAATGCAAGAAATGTAGTGATTGGTTGTCAAGGCAGCCAATCAGAATTTAGCAGCCTCGTCTCTGATTGGCTGGAATTATGGCATATTGTAACGCTAGGTTGTGTTGAGCACGCGAGCTGTTGGCATTTAGAGAGCACTGAGGGCGGGCATCAAGGGAGCAAGCTGGTGAAACGTTGCAAGCACAAAAGAGAAGGTCTGCACACATCCAAAAACTTATTTTAAATGCAAAATTGATTTTCGTGCGCTCGATATACTTTCTTTTTTGCGAGACAAACATTTTCTCCACAAAACTCAGTGCGCGTGCAATACGCACTTTTGCGCGCTCAAAATATGATCTTTCGCGCACAGAATTGCGGCAGAGATGTAATCCCATAATAACCCGACTGTGAATGATGTGAGCGGCATCACTATGTTGTTACTGAGAAGCTGCAGCCGTCACGGGGAGGATTTTTGGTGTGCCGGACCGGACATTTAATCCCTGGAAATACCTTTGTGAAAAATCCATACAGCCTATAAATAACCAGTTATTATTAGCCCCCCAAAAAAGCTATTGAAAATGTTATTCACCAAGCAATAGTTAGGAACTTACTTTTTAGATTTAGATCTTGAAGAACTGATTCTCGTTCTTGGTAAGACTCCTGAAGTCAGTGGTGCGCAGTGTGCGCTCTAATGCCTATATGGATTTAATTCTACTGTATTTATGGTTTAGGAATGTATAGTAGGCTATAAATAGTGCGACAGCTGCTGCTATTGGATGGCGCTGAATGGACGAGTGGGTGGAGTTGTGTCTACAATAAGTAAGATTGTTTTTCACAGATTTATTCAGTGAATTCTACGACATTTACCACAGTAGGAAGTACCGGTGTTATGGATCAATAGGGGATCGTGTTAACTGGGGGGACGTGAGCTCTTTTATTTCACTTTCCAGCAGATTCATCAGATGCGAACTATGGAGCTGCAAAGAAAACACGTTTGGTACATTCTTAATGTTCTTAATAAATGTTGATACAACTATTAGACTGTGATTTTCCCCCTCAGTGACTGTGCTAATGTATTCAACACAGCTTTAGTGTCATTTGAACAATTTCACATGGTAGCCTAACAGGGTTCACAAACCCCTCCCCCGTTATCTTGAGACGTTCACTTAAGTGGAAAATGACCATTGCTCAAACAAACGCATTATATTTCAAGTGTAATACATTTGCAACGATCATGTTTCGAATATTGTAACGATGCAATTTATGTTGAGAGAGAAAAAAAATCGTGCTGTGGGATGATGCCCAAAACAAAAAACTGAAAATCTTTCTCAATGCGTCCATAAAATACAGAAGCGTCCCAAACAGTGTCAAATATCTTAAACCGAAGCAGCAGAGAAAGCTTAAATATTATTTCAGATGGGCTCTCAATGTTAAAATATGTCAACTAAACACGTCTTTCACTTGAGTGCAGCCAGAGCAAGAGAAACAGAGTTGCGACACTCCCTTTGGCTTCCAAAGCATCTGAGGAATGCGGAAGTAAAGCGTGTCATGGAGCAGCCAACAACCAATAGTTCCAGCATTGAAGCCCATTCATTTCAGAAGCACACTCGCCAGAATGTTGAAGAAATTACATAATTGTTTGACATTTTAACGCATTAGCTGACCTCTCGGAAATCTGGGCAGTAGTGGTATTCTATGAAGCGCGTTATGATTGATGTTTATCGTTAGATAGAGAGTTATACTATAATTGCAGTTGGATAACGCGAGAAACACATTAATAGCGAACATAACCAGATGCTAGTTGTCATATTTTTAGGTTTTTAGTCTTTCTGCAATCTTTCTCTCCCTGTAGGAGGTTTAATGAGTTTCGTTGAAGACTGCCCATTCAAGGAATACAATAGTTTCGCTGAATGCATTTGGTTGCTTTGTGTTTATAAACATTTTTTTATTGGATTAAATTCCATATTTGCTTGCCTTTCTTAATATTCACTTATGTTGTATGCTTTTGTGAATATCATAAAATAACACCAACATTTAACCTTGTAAACATATTTACTTAATGTTACCTGTGTTATATTTCATCGGCAACAACAATGTGAACTTTTATAAACATCTGTTTGGCCATTAACTTTTAAATGCATCACTGTGCAAAAAATCTGAGCAGGGTTCTCTGCATAAAGACCCACAGCTGGCAGATCAATGAGCTACTTCTTTTCTCTCCAGTACGGTAGGAAGTTAAATGAAATGAAATGTGGAGGATGTTAATTGTGACATTGACTGGCAGGCCAGTTTACAGTGACAGGATGCGTGTAACTGCGACAGAGCAGTCCGTTAAAGACGTGACAGTAGGCTATGTCCCAAAGCTTGCCTACTGGTGTGCTACACACTCAAAAGTGTGTACTTTTTCCTCAACAAAAGAGTACATACTTTAATATAGTATAAGTAGGCACATTGGGACGCAGCATCTGTTTTCTCAATGGCTCTGAGTGCAGTAAGAGAACTTTGAGAGCCTAAATATTCATTGGCGGTTGCTATACGGTACAAGGACACTACACTTTGCAGCAGAGTGTCAAGGAATATCTAGGGAGAATATCTGAAAAAAAAAAAAAAAAGCGTTGCTTTGAATACCGTTAAGCAGAAACTTGGTACTTATTTAGCGTTGAAAAGGTAGTCATGGGGTGCCGTCCTGTGGAAATCTGAGATTGTGTAAATTTCACAACTCTTACCTGGTGCTGGGAATCCATAAGCCGGGTTAACGGTGCCGTAGTTAGCTCCATAGTCACTTCAGAGGAAGTTTAATGAAGTCAGTTTGTGCATTTTTCAAAACACAAATAATGTAAATATCGGTTATGACAACTTTTTTTTTTTTTTACACTTACCTCGCAGTCGGTCTCTCCATTTTGCAAACGCAGTGAGAAGTAAAAGTAAGAGTTCCTGAACGGCTTCCTTATTCTGTAATCATCATGTGATTGTTATTTCGTAAATGACTCCCCTCATAAGTGCGGGGGGAGGTCAACAATAGGCCATTGCTCAGTCTACACAGGCGTGCAGTGTACATAAAAATGTGTAAAAAGTCGTAGCGCGTGTGTCACAAGAGCAAAGTGCAGTTTCAGTTTAGTTGAGTATGTTTGTGTCGCTTTCATACAGAGGAACATGCTCGACATGCGGTTAGAAAAAATATATGAAATATGAGGAAAACCTTGAATTTGCGTTCCACAGAGAAACTATGTAAACTTCGCAAAACTCGCAAATCTTATAAGAGCGAAAGCAAAAGCCCTTTCGGGGCTTCGTAGTTTCATACTGACGTTACAACAACCACCTGCTGATGAAGGCGAAAACGAGGAACCAGAAAGAGAAACCGAGAGTGCGGTTTACTTTAGGAGAGGAGTAGCTACTTTTAGAAACATATAGGCCGTATGTGGCACCATGATACAGTGATGATATTAGATAGTAAATCCACGGTACTCTAAATACTAGTGATGGGAAACTGAGGCTTTCTGAAGCGTTTGAGGCTTTACTCGAAGCTTTTAACACAGTGTGCATTAGCGACGTCTGGAGGTCGGACTTGTTTTCTCCAGCATTACTGACAGATAGGGATGGGCATATCGATCCTAAATATCGATATATCGATACTGACGCGAGTATCGAAAGTATCGATACTCAAACTAAAAATATTTTTTTTATTGCTGAAGAGTGTTTCTTCTCCTGCGTTCTACTGTACAGACGTGAATTTACTTTTGCTTCAGCCTGAGGTTTATTCATTACACTTTTTGGTGTGAAAGGGCTTTTATATTTGCTATAAATATAACTTCTTGTATTAAAAACAATCAAGCCCTGTTCATATTTAAAAAGTAACGTGAAAGTAACGCAAAAGTAATATAACGCATTACTTTCCATAAAAAGTAACTAAGTAACGTAATTAGTTACTTTTTTTAGGGAGTAACGCAGTATTCTAATGCATTACTTTTAAAAGTAACTTTCCCCAACACTGATCATAATTAATTGACATGGGTAGCTGAAAAAAAATATTTTGGGTGAGCTGTTATACCCTTATGCTGTGTTTGGGGGCTCTGAGACCCCAGTTATAAACATGATTAAATGTCCTATTGACAGCTCTCATCGGCACAGTGTGTGATACAATAGTGCTTTGAAAACTGTGTTGGAGCATCAGAGCTGCGGTATCAATTGTCCCATCACTACTAAATACTAACAGGGGCTAGTTGTCACACCTTTTACGCTTGTTCATTCATCCAAAGTGAGGTGTTTTCTTTTTTTTCTTCTTTTCTTTTCTTTTTTCTTTCTTTAAAGTCATTTTCGGTATTCAGGATTTCACGTGTTTATATATCCTTGAATAGAAATGATGGTAAACAGAAGGACGTTTTGGACATATTTGCATTCTTTGGATTATTTTTCACGATATGGCATAAATTGTCACAATGTGAACCTGTTTATCATCTTTTGGCTACATTTAAACAGTGAATTTATTATGAAACACAATGATTAATGAAGTAGCAAATATGGAACAAATATAATAGGTAACGATGAACAATAAGCTCCCATTAGTTAATGTTAGTTAATGCATTAAGTAACAATGAGCAATAGCCTACATTTGTTAAAGAATTGATTAATCTTTAAGATTAGCTACAACTGTTCATTGTTAGTTCATGTTAGCTTCATTAAATTATATGAACGGATACAACTTTTGATTTTTATAATGTATTAATACATTTTGAAATGAACTTTGAAAATTCAAGCAACAGCTGAAAACTCATCTCTCCCGTCAACATTTGACTGCATGCTAAAAAAAAAAAAACCTTTAATGAAACAGCAAAATCTTTTGTTGTTTTCCTCAAGTAAAAAAAAAGCATCTAGATGAATAAATGTAAATGTGCTTCAGACGATTTTTTAGTTTTAGTTTTATGTAGTTGACTAATGTTAACAAATGGAACCTTATTATGAAGTGTTATGAAACCAATGTTTTGGCAAACATATGTTGTTAATTATGAACCATGTGACAACCTGGCCTGCCTTATTAAAATACACTAGTCCTAAGAATTCTGCTTGATTTTTTTATACCTTTATGTTATATATTTTTATTTGCACGTTGACAGTTTGTAGAATATGAAAAAAAAGAGGATTATTTCTCTGGACATTTGAATGAGATACAGTACTAAATTATGACAACTAGCCCCAGTCTCCCCTCCCATAATATTGCATGATTACCATACATACAGTACCATAGTATTTAAACATCCAAATCAAAATATGGTTCTGTCATAGTAGTTTTGGTACTTTATTGTTAGTGTGGTGTCTCTCCTGTGGTTCAGGCAGCCTGTATCTCAGTAGCAGGCCACTTCAGTCCATCTGTGGTACGGGCCAGAGGAGAAGGAAAGAGGAGCCATGTGGCACGTTAGTTGTTCTTTAAATCCTAAAGTGCTCCCAGACGGGGTCCCTGCATGGGCGACCATGAAGAAAGGACTGGTTGGAGGAGTCAAAGGGAAGAGGAAGATGTTCTCGTTTTCTTTACGATGTCGGATTGGAGTTATCAGAGGAAGGGTTAAAGGTAAGACATAAGAGAAGGTGCATAAGGTGTGAGTGTGTGGTGATGTTTGAACAGGTAAAGGGTGAATTGTATGTGTAGGTGCTGTGTACTTCATGAGCATTCATGCTGAAGTTATTATGTGTGTCATTTTTTTTTCTTGGCTGTGTGGGTCTGAGAAATGAATGCAAGATCTGTTGTCCTATGTCAGCTAAAGTGACCTGCAAAACAGTGTTCAGCCACATGGGGGCTGTATAGTTTAAAATTACTTCAAATAGTCTGCAGTCCTTTACAGTGAACCACACTGTAGTTTCATTGATGTAATACTATGGTAACACCACCAATTTTTTTTTTATGACTGTGATTTTACCACAATGGTAATGAAACTACATTTACCTGAACTGAATCTGTGCGAGCGGATCACACGTGTTTTATGGATGACTGACTGGAGACTAGTTGCATGTGCGGAGGAGACCACGTTATGCTGTTTGGAAAGAGCAAACTGGAGTGGCACTGGAATGTCTCAGGAATAATCCAGTTCCAGCTATGCAACACTTTTTCAGTCGTTCATTCGCGCATTACACTCTGACTGTTGCTCACATGGACCTGCAGAAATAAATATATTTGATCTGCATTTATTAATGTAAAAAACTGGAATTCTATATGATTTGTGTAGTCTGCCTGTATGGATTGAACATCATCTGTGCAACAGGATCAGCTATAGATAAAACTATCTGAGGTCGCTGAATGGATTCATCTAGTCTGCTTGATTCATTCTCTAAGGAATCCTAACTGAAGTTACACATGTAAAATGTTAATTTCCAGATGTGCACTTTAACAAACGGTTTGGTCAATTTAGCTAGTTCCTAAACTGATGTGAGGCAGAATGGAATCGTGATATTCCCATGATGCTGTGTGGTTTGAGAAGAGAGGGTCGCAACAACAGTGGTGAGTCATGTTGATCATTTTTCCACATTTGGTCCTTTCTTTTTCACTTTTTCTGTCATATGCATTATGTTGGGTTTGGTAAGATTTTTTAGTGTCTTTTTAAAATAGTATCTTATGCTCATCAAGGATGCATTTACTTGATCAAAAATACAGAAAAAAACTGTAATATTATGAAATATTATTACAATTTAAAATAACAGATTTCTATTTTGATAAATTTTAAAATGTAATTCATTCCTGTGATGCAAAGCTGAATTTTCAGCATCATTACTCCAGTCTTCAGTGTCACATGATCCTTCAGAAATCATTCTGCTCAAGAAACATTTCTTCTTATTATCAATGTTGAAAACAGTTGTGCTGCTTCATATTTTTGTTGAAACTGTGGTACACTTTTTTCAGGATTCTTTGATTATTAGAAAGCTCAAAAGATCAGCATTTATTTGAAATATAAATATTTTGTAGCATTTTAAGCATCTTTACTGTCACTCTTGGTTAATATAATGCGCCTTTGGTGAAAAAAAGTATTAATTTCTAATGTTAATTTAAAAAATCACATGTATCTATCTATCTATCTATTAGGAATGTAACGATTCACTTTTTTTTACAAAATGAGATTTAAGACAATTCACTCTCTGCCAGCAGGTGGCGCTTAAAGCGTTTTCTTGGTTTCCGCTGTAAACAAAGCAGCGCTGCACTTATGAACTTTAATATGCAGGGCTCCAGACTGCGACCATTTTTTCTGCCTCTGCGACTAAATTTTGTGTGCGGTTGCGGTGCGACCTCCGCGTTGGTCAACTCATAAGCGCTTCAATTTCTGTTGCATATGAGAAACATCAAAGGGCAAACGAAACTGAAAGCATAACGAAACAGCGCTTAGAGAGTATACCTACTCAGCTACAGCAAAAATGACACGCATATTGAGGAATCGATGGATGGTTTTCAAGCGAAAGTCAAGTAAAAGACCGCTTCTTAAACCAGAGAAGGTGAACATGCTGGTATTCTTGTGGGGGGGGAAAACATGCAAGCACTGTCACCGTTAGTTTTACTTTTCTTTTTGTTTTCATTTTTGAAAAACTTATCTTTGCTGTTTACCTTAAGCTATGGAGGCTCTCTTTTATTTATTTATTTATTTATATTTTTGATTCCACAGTGTTTGCTAAACCTTCTGTAATTTATTAGTCGGTATATAATACAGCATGTGGTGTGTGCCATGCCTCATCTTATTCGTTTTTTTGTTTATAAATACCAGCAACAGTGTGTGACAACCTTGTGAAGACTTACAGAAAACGTTTGACCTCTGTCATTGCCACCAAAGGGTATATAACAAAGTATTGAGATTAAATTTTGTTATTGACCAAATACTTATTTTCCACCATAATTTGTAAATAAATTCTTTAAAAATCCTACAATGTGATTTTCTGGATTTTTTTTCTCATTTTGTCTCTCATAGTTGAGGTATACCTATGATGAAAATTACAGGCCTCTCTCATCTTTTTAAGTGGGAGAACTTGCACAATTGGTGGCTGACTAAATACTTTTTTGCCCCACTGTAAGCAAAACAGTGACAACAAGATCGCGAATTCGAAAGTGAAAGCATCCGAAGCCCGCGGCTTAACCCTCATGTGGTGTTCGGGTCCTTTTTGCTCTGAGAAAATTTAATTTTTCCCGAAAATACTAGTTAATGTTATAGCATTGGACTGAAATTTTGTGACTACATTTTTTTTTTAATCATTTTCATACTTTTCTGGGGGAGATTTTTCACCTTGTTACAGTTGTGATGTTCCAGAG